GTGAGTGTTCAAAAAAAAAAAAAAAGAAAGAAAAAAAAAACTTCTTGGCTGTCTACTTTGGGGGAAACGGTGGTTGTGTGTGTGTGTGTGTGTGTGTGTGTGTGTGTGTGTGTGTGTGTGTGTGTGTGTGTGTGTGTGTGTGTGTGTGTGTGTGTGTGTGTGATATAAATGTATTTATTTTTGTGTGTATGTATTTATGTTGTATGTAAGTACATAGGGAGAGGGTGAGGCTGAGAGTGAATGAGAGAGAGGGAGAGGGAGAAGGAGAGTGGAGAGGTAGAGGGAAAGGGAAAGGGAAAGGGAGGGGAGAGGGAGAGGAAGAGGAAGGAGAAGGAGAAGGAAAAAGAGAGAGAAACAGCAATTCCAGTAGGTAAATACTATCTTGATTTCGCCGATATCAGACACGTCATCCAAGCGACTTATCCAACATTTTAAAAGATTATCCAGTATCAGAAAGATTAACCTAAAAAAAACATTCAGCATTTGGAAAAGATCATCCATCAAGTATAGATAATTTAGCATATAAATAATTTAGCATTTTTAATAGATGAAGATTTGAAGAAAAATCATTCAGCATTTTTAACTATTCCTTAGCGAAAAAAAAAACATTCAACTTTTTATAAAGAGATTATCCAACAAAAAAATAAAAATCACAGTTACTCATTCTCCCAGCAATCTTTTTATGTCCTTTAATCTCTCTCTCTCTCTCTCTCTCCTCTCTCTCTCTCTCTCTCTATCTCTCTCTCCCCCTCTCTCCCTCCCTCCCCTCCCTCTCTCCCTCCCTCCCTCCCTCCCTCCCTCCCTCCCTTCCCTTCCCCCTCCCTCCCTCCTCTCTCTCTCTCTCTCTCTCTCTCTCTCTCTCTCTCTCTCTCTCTCTCTCTCTCTCTCTCCCTCTCCCTCCCTCTCCCTCCCTCCCTCCCTCCCTCCCTCCCTCCTCTCTCCCTCTCTCCCTCCCCTTCCCCCTCCCTCCCTCCTCTCTCTCTCTCTCTCTCTCTCTCTCTCCCTCCCTCTCCCCCTCTCCCCCTCTCTCCCTCTCTCCCTCCCTCCCTCCCTCTTCTCTCTCTCTCTCTCTCTCTCCTTCCCTCCCTCTTCTCTCTCTCTCTCTCTCTCTCTCTCTCTCTCTCTCTTTTCCTCCCTCCCCCCCTCCCTCCCTCCCTCCTCTCTCTCTCTCACACACACACACAAACACACACACACACACACACACACACACACACACACACACACACACACACACACACACACACACACACACACACACACACACACATTATCCCCCTGTGGTGCCGTCGTGTTGCATAATACAAAGCTGTTTTGTTCCCTGGGATAGCTCGTTAAACTGCATTTTCTTTTTTTAATGGGAGTGGCATTTTTTCCTTGAATGATCGATACAACTGACCTGTACCATTCATGGGTGTGTTGTTTTTTGTTTTGTTCTGTTCTATTGTTTGTATTTTTGTTTTTTTTTCTCTTGACTTGTGACTTTGAATTTGTTTTAGTTTATTCATAATATCTGTAATGACTTATTATATTAGTTTGACAGATGGTTGTTTTAATGTTGTTTTTCACAAATTATCTACATAAAGGAGATTGGAAGAAGGAAGAGAGAGGCAGAAGGAGGGAGGGAGGAAGGGGAGGGAAGGAAGGAGCGAGAGGAGGAAGGAAGGAGAGAGGGAGAGGAATGCAGGTAGGGAGGGGGAAGGGAAGGGGAGGAGAGGAAAGGGGAAAAAAAGAGAAGGAAGGATGGATGATGCGAGAAAAATAGGGAAGAGGAGGGGGAAAGAAGGAGAGAGAAGGAAAAAGGAGGAACTGGAAGAGGAAAAACAATCAGGAGAGACGAGAGAGAAGGAGAGAGAGACGAGAGCGCGAGTGGACTCTCGAGGAAGACTCACACATCGATCTCCCAGACCTCAGCCTTGCCAGCGTGAATTTAGATTTTTTTCATCTCTCTCCTTCTGTTCTGTGTTGTTATTAGTCTTATCTCTTTCTTCTCTCTTTTGTCTTTGATCATCATTTCACCTCCTCTTTTTTTGTTTATGTGGAAATTTCGATGCTGGTACGGTCCTGGACGACCTCCCGCCCGAAACCGAAACACCGGCTTGGAACGTCGTTGATCAAGGGAAACACGATTCATAATTGACGAATTCGGTCTTCTCCTATGGGATTGACAGACAAGCGGGTACTTCCGTTTCTGGTTACCTCGTAGTCAAAAGGTTAAAGGTTTCGATGACCAGCAATGGGGAAAAATTCTCCTCTTTTCATATTTTCTTTGTGTGTGTGTGCGTGTGTGTATGTGTATTTGTGTGTGTGTATGTGTATTTGTATGTGTGTGTGTGCGTATGCGTGTGCTTGTACGTGTGCGTGTGCATGTCTTTTCTTTGAGACGTAGTCTTGAAACCAACAGTATGTTATTGCGTGAGACTGAGGGTGTTACCGCCACCACTTTCGATAATTGATATTTAATTGAGGATCGTTTGCGGGTCAGACATTGATGCTTGTGCTCTTTAAGGAGTTAGCGAACCGCCATTCCGTCTCTTGTCATTGCGCATTTCCTGCTTCCTTTATTATTCATTTTATTTTTTATTTTGGTATGTATATGTGTGTATATATGTATATGTATATTTATATTTATTTTTTCCATAGAAGCGGAGATGCATTGATGATAGTTATTTAATTATTGACATAATCCTTTGAGGTGCGACGATGCCCTCCGGACAGGAAGGTTTTTTTTTTGGGTGGGAGGGGGGTGGAATTAATATTATTCCTATTATTATTATTATTATTATTATTGTTATTGTTATTGTTGTTTTGTCATTAATGTTATCATCATCATCATGATAATAATAGTAATAATAATAATTATAATAATAATTATTAATGTTGTTATTATTGTTATTACCACCTCTGTTATTCCATAGAAGTTACTGTTTGGTGCTCGCTAAGCATTTCTCTCACTGCTTTTGTCTTCACGCAAGCACATAGACGCACACACACACACACACACACACACACACACACACACACACACACACACACACACACACACACACGCTCGCACACACACGCACGCACGCACACACGCACATATATATCCTCTCCCTCGCTCTGCCCGCTCTTCACGCGTTGAAAATTATCTTTACTTTAAATAGTCACCAAGGTTGTTTTGACTGCAGTTGCTTGTTTGTTCATATAACTTATCTTAGATTAGATGCAAATGTCAGCGGTTAACCACAATCCTCATGATTATCATTTTATTATTCGTAGATTTTTGGGATATTGTGATAAATGCGTTGAAAGCGATTTTTTTCCTTTCTTTTTCTCTTTTTTTTTTCTTCCTTTTTTGGCGATTGGGGTAAGGGTGGGGGTTGTAGTGGGTAGAATGGGGGTGGGGGTGGGGGGAAGGGGTGTGAGATGGAGTAAAGAAGGAGAGACAACCTGTTTTCGCTCTAAAAATAGAACCACTTTGGAGAAATGCTTACACATGTCTGGAGTTTATAGTCGTCTTGTCGCGTTTAATCATCTCTTCGGCTTTGTGTTTCCATCCCTGATTTCAACCACGCTGATAAGAAGGCAGACGGTAGATTTCCAAATTAAGGGCAAGGTGATAACAGAGTTGATAAGAGCTGAATAGGACATGTAGCCTTTGTAATCTGGTGCCTATGAGAAGGTTAGGGCGAGATCTAGGTAGGCCTACTTTGTTACCAGGTGTCCGTGCGTATATGCCTGTTTATCTGCACTGGGCACGTGTATGCATGGATAGAAGCTCATGGAGAGAGAGATAGATAGATAGAGAGAGAGAGAGTAGAGAGAGACCGATACACACGCGCGCACGCACGCATACACACACACGCACGCACACACACACACACACACACACGCACACACACACACACACACACACACACACACACACACGCACACGCACACACACGAGATGAGGCTCGGTCCCGGCCAGAGAGATCTTGGCAACCGCTCTTTAGTTTAATGATAAGTCAATTTTTTGCAAGTTGCTGCGTTCAATCTCTTTAATGCAAATTTTTCTTTTTCTTTTTTTATTGAGAATTTATAGACTATCTATCTATCGGTGTGGATTTGTATGTGGATATTTTTTGTCATTTTTAAAGGTTATTTTAGCAGTGGTTGGTATAGTGTAAGTAAAAACATTGAACGAAGTTAGTATTCTTTGTACCCTGGCATTCCTCTTTCTGTTCCTAGTGAATTGTAAGAATTTACGATACTCGAGACCCCCCCCAACTCTCTCTCTCTCTCTTTTCTATCTTTCTCACACCCTCCCTTCTCTCTCTCTCTCTCTCTCTCTCTCTTCTCTCTCTCTCTCTCTCCACTTTCTTTCTGTGTTTTATTACATCACTCAATCTCTTATTTTAAAAGCGTCTGTTTGGACACATGAAGCACATTATTATTATTATTTTTTACTATTAGACACGCACAGGCACTCATTCACTCACTCACACTTACACTCTCTCTCTCACACACACACACACACACACACACACACACACACACACACACACACACACACACACACACACACACTCACTCACTCACTCATTCACTCATTCACTCACACGCGCACACTCACACGCACACTCACACACACACACACACGCACTCGCTCACTCACTCACTCACTCACTCACACTCGCATACATACACACACGCGTGCAATTACTTTATTTTTAATATATAAATAACGTATTTAGCATTCATAGGGTCTCTGTGGGAAGGCATGTTGAGTACGTGACTTTGTTTGTTTTATAGTTTCTTTGTCGTCATTTTTAAAATATTTTTTTAAAAGATTCTTTCTTGTGTCTTCCTTTTTTTTTAATGTCTTTTGCGTTTTTTTTCAATATATATCGTTATGGAAAGGGATGGTTGTGGTTCAATGAGGGAGAAGGAGAAGAAGAAGGAAGAAGGAAGAGAAGGAGGAGAGAGAGAGAGAGAGAGAGAGAGAGAGAGAGAGAGAGAGAGGGGGGGGGGGG